GGAGTATATATTATTTCATACCATATCTCACTTTCAAACTTTTTTAATAATTGAACTTTTGAACTCAAAAATTATTATTTTGCTACTTTAAATTATTTTGAATAATTGAAATATTTATTATCACACAATTTCTGATCCTATTATCATAATAACAATATCTCAGCAATTTGAACATTGTTCATATATAGATCATTTGTTTAGATACTCATAATGTAATAGATAGATTTGCAAAAAGTGAGCTTAATGGTTAGTTTAGAATTTAGCAAATCAAATAAAGTGAGAAGTAGAAGGACGAGGTCAAATAACATTTGCTTGCTGTTTTCATTCAATCTTTTCAACTTTTTTGCAATCCGTTTTAAATGCGTGGAAAAATAAACAAATCATTGGAAGAATGGTAAAAACTAGACAAGGTCAGAATTTAAAATTCAGCAGCAAAATGAGAAATTAGCAATTATTTTTATGGGTTTTTTTTTTCAGACAAAGGAAAACGATACTTTGACAATCTGATGGCATATCGCAAGTTGTCAGATCCTCTATCGATACTACATCTAGCCCATGTATCACGCTGATCAGCGTGTACTGGGCCAATTTTAGCTGGATCACATGAACATGATCGAAGACGTCCACGTGCGCAAGCCTGAGCTATAGCACGTACTGCAGCTGCACTAGAAAGTGCGAGAAAATATGCAAATTCTCTGCTAGCTGCAACTTATATTTTAAGTAATTAATTTGTCATTTACTTGAAGAACATTGGTAAAAGGAGAAGTAATGCGAACGACAAAATGAAAAATATATTAGCTGGACATTAATGTCACTATAATTGTTTGCTTGTATTGAAACAAATCAAAAATTAAATTAATAAAATTCTTGAAGTGCTAAAATTTGCGATGTTTTAGACTTTTACCAAATGAGGCAACGTTGGGAAAAAGGCCTTTGTGAGGTGCCCCATCAATTGTGCATTTCCAGTGATGAATATACGATTGTCGAGAGCATTCCATCAGAGTATCTCGTATGGCCTCCTTGAGAACATTGATTAAACCAGGATCTTTCTGCAAGGTACGGTACAAAGGTTTATCCAATATTCCCTTAACCTGCAATTTACAATCACTAATCAATATCATATCATATCATATCATATCATAGTATATCATAATGAAGATATAATTCAAAAAATTTGCATCAATTTTGCCAGTAAGTAATTATAAAATTGATGATCACTTGTTTATTTGTGTGTCGGATGAGGATTTTGGTTGAAAAAATTTAAGTTCTTATAGGTAAATATTCTGTTTAAATCAACTTTTCACAATTATTTTAAGTATTACTTAAAAATTTTCATGAAAAATTGTTTCTTAAATAATTAAAATTTTTAGAATTGTTCAATTAAAGAGCAAATTACAACGAAGGTAGATTGAGCGAAAGGTTACGTTGTTAATTAATTAATTTATTAGTGTAGGTAAATTTTGAATGAAACTGTTACCTCGAGAAGAGATGAACGTATCCAATGAACTTTCCTAAAAGTACTTAAGTTTATATTTTATCATAATTAAAATATATTTTAAAAAGTTTTTCCAATTACATTTAATATAAGGAAAAAATTTATTTTACAACAAATTAATACAAAAGCATATTTTATTTTACTCGAAAGTCTATATTATTTCAGCTCAAAAATATTTTAATAAAATGCTTAAAATAAGATTTTATTGCAATATTCATTATCTTTTATTTGAAAATATTTTTTTGAACAAAATTTTTGCAAAAATATTAAGATAAGATTTTAAAAAAAATGAAGCGAATAAGCAGAAATATACCACCAATAAGGCTCATCTAAAATGAACAAGCTGATATTTGGCTTGATAATCAGTGCTGATAAGCAAAAATAGAAGACAAGCAGTTTAGTAGTTGCTTGTATTCTGCGCATTGCTTACTACCATTTGCTTAATTTTTAATTTCAATTTTTCGCCAAGCAATACATACATACTACTATCTAAGTAGCAACAGCTGCGCTTGTTTTGTCCTCTTCTTTAGACATTTTCATATTTTTTGATGTGCAAAAATGATAATTTTGTATAGTATGAATGAATAACTGATATTATCTTTTTGCGATTTTTTCTGCTTTACATATATGGCCGGCCAGTACTCGCTTACTCTTCTTCTTACTTCCCATTTTTCGTTTTTTTAATTTTCTTTTTTTGAAATTTTATTGTAATTTTTTTTCGCGTATCATTTTTTGCTAAAATCAAAATGACAAAAATTAAAAAGCAGATGCAAAATGCTTAAGAATAATGCTAATGCTTTTCACTTGATATACATACTTCTTCTTTCTCAAAGATTCATTACTAGCGAATACAGCTGAATTCAATTATCTAAACATTAACAATTTTATTCATTTTGACTCATTATTTACACATATTTTGCTTATTTTTATTAAAGTAAATGAATAAATCTTTCGTAAAAATATAAAATAAATTGATTACTTTTTTAATTTTACTTGCAATTTGCATAATACAATCGATATTACATTTTTACTACGCAAAAACAAACAATCACTTCGTAGTAATTATTTATTCTTGAATACACTTTTTGAAGCAAATCATGTAATTCACGATTGTATTTTACAATTATTTTACAATTTTTTATTTTTGTAATTTTTTACAATCAAAAAGATTGCTTTCATTCTTCATCATTTCATTTCCCTCTGAAACATCTCTGTTTACCATTTATGAAAGCTAATTGAATAAGCAAATGACACGCATAATGTTTCATTGGAGAAGTTTTTTGATCAAAAACATAATTATGTTATTAATGCTCATTACAGCGTAATAATAATGCTATTACTATTACTAATAGGAATAACAAAAATAAATAAATAAATAAATAAATAATAATAAAGTATTATGAATAATGCTATTTCATTGTACTGTGTATAAAATTCAATAATTTTGTGAATCATACAACAAGAAATGAAATGATCTTTTCCCCACGTTCAATGCTACTGCGGCTTTACGCGATCTCATTCTCGGCAGTAATTACGTGGATTTATTTACTCACTGAAGAAAGTAACGAAGAGAGCATGCAATTTGATAAAGTCAACTTTCTTGACTGCGTGTATAAGCAGTAAATTTTGCCAATGTTTGTTCAAGGTGTTGTGTGTGTGTGTGTGTGTGTATGTAGAATGTATATGTATACAGCAGAATTATTATTCAGCCTCTTTTACATACAAATTCTTCTTCTTTGATTGTGTTATCATCGCTGTCTAACTTTATGCTAAGTACGTTGTCACGTGTTGTACTAATTTCATACGTATGCTTATCTCAACACAGTCACGTGCTGTTACGTGTTGTACTAATTTTATTCGTTTGCATTGATTTTTTAAGATTTTCTTAGTGTAAAATATATACATATATTTTTTAAAAAACTTTTTCTGTTAATTTTCCAAATTATTATTAAAAATTAACCTTTATAAATTTTTTTTCTACACTTTTATCATTACTTCTGACTTATTTTGACTAATCTTAATTTTCGTTAATAATACTCTTGTCTAAACTTTGTCTTTTGTTATTTCCACACTTAATCTGATGAAAATCTTTCATTCTATTTTATGCACAGAAAGTTTGATGCTTGAGAATTGCTAAAAGTTTTATTTTTTTGATTGCAGCCTTCAAAAAATAACCATTCATTGTCTTGCTAGAAAATTGAACTGAAAATTTAAATCTTTGCTTTCAAACTTATTTTCAACATTAGTATGCTCATTTCAATTAATTTCTAAAGAATTAGTATTTCAGGAATGGTAGTCAGAAGTAAATCAAACTCTTTTTTACTGATTAATATGAAAACAACCATTATCACTTCTGGCCCACATGAAGGCATAGTTGTCCAGTGTGGTATTCAACCACAGTCTGAAGAGCTTTGGCCACACAGTTGGAATGAGACATCGGTTTCTGCTTCTGCTTCTGCTTCCAAACTCATGAACCTACCAGCAACTACTGCTGTCATTAATTCTCAGCTGACTATGAATAAAAGTTATGAAAACAACATGTCCCAGCATGTTACACTTCCCAACCGTACATCAGATGATGCTAGCATTACATCGAATCTTGCAAACAACTCTCCTGAATCTCATGCAGTTCATCTGAATGCTTCCATAATGGTTTTTCTTCCAACGTTAATTTCTGTGTTTTTTATAATTAATTTTTGCCATCAGTATGTTTCATTTAACTTTACAAAAGATTGTAATCATATTTATTGAGCACAAAATCAAGTGGATAAATATACAATTTATATAAAAGCATACAAAAGGATTTTATTCGATTACTTTCAAAATGTATTTTAAAGAACAGAAAATTTTCACCAAGGATCTATTATTTTTTTACAGAAAGCAAATAACGCAATAATTCATAAATGTAGCATCTGTGGGCTATTTGACTTTATTATTTATGACTGCCAAAGCTTAAAATGCTTTTACTAAAGCTATTAAAGTACTAATTGGTTCGTTTTCTAATCCATACCTGTAGAAACAAAATAAAAAATTGACTTGTTTATTTTAGAAGCCAGAGCTAGATGACTTCTATTCAAATTCAGAGCTGAATTGCAATACCAGGTCAGATTCTTCCAAAATTGTTTTGGAATGCTAAGATAAATCTATCAGATTCTTTGATATTTTTACGAATTAGCAAAGAAAATAAATACAAGTCACTTACGGACTCGAAAAATGCACACAAAAAATTCAATTGAAAACAGAACATAAAATGATTTATATTTATTTTTATGAATACTTTGGATTAGAATCGAGTTTTATTTTAAATATATTCTAAAATATGAATGCAATTTATTCTTTAAGAAAAATATTCACACATTTGACATTATAATAAATAATTACAAATGTTGCGTATAATTAATCTATTATTTTTTTATGTACAAAAAAAATTAATAAAATTGACTCTTATCTGTGCATATTTGTAGATAAAATTGCGCTTACTTACAGAAAAAAACAAGATAAAATGCAAAAAAAACGTATACCAAAGAAAGGGTCAATCTACGATGTGGAAAACAAAAATGTTAGTTAATAATATATTGACTAAATTGTGTTTATATTCTGTTTAACAAAAATTCCGAACAAAATTTTTATTAAAAAATGATCGAAATATAAAATTAGAATTAACTTTTATAATATGCATATTTTATATGCGAAAATTTTTTCCTTAAAAAATATAAATCAAAAATTTGGTAATTTAAGTTAGCGCAATATTTTCTTATCTGATTTATGTATTAATCTATTTGTCAGCACCAGAATTGTTATAATAGAGTGTTGGATTTAAACCAGATACCTTCAACCTTTGCGAAGTCTGAAAGATCAGTAAACTTTATTGATTACATAGAAAATCATGAGAAAGAATTACCAGAACAAACATATCACTTGTATGAAACACGAGATATTTTGGGCAATATTTTGGTGCAATGGTGAATTCTCAGCAAGTTTTTCAAATTTTATTTCAATTTTATGCTTGCAAGCACTTTTGAATTAAATTATTAACAAAAATGGAAGATTATTCTTCTGAAAATTAATTTTTTGACTTTTTCAATATTTTCTCTGCTTCAGACTGTTAGCTAATTTTGGTATTTCAGTGCAAAAAACGAAAGAAATGAAGAATTGTCAGAGTGGAGCATTCCTCAAAAATGCTCGACTGGAACAAATCTGATCTCAAATTACGGAATATCACTTATTTCTGAGCATTTATTGTCACAAGCAAATGAAAACGATGAAAGTAGCAGAAAATTGACACCTGAATATACTGTGAGCAGTAATGGATTTCATGAAAGCAATAATAATTCATCACAATGTGAATCAGAAGGTATGACATCTATTCATGGAAGTGAGGCCATCAACATGCGAGAATCACAAGGATTCAATGTAACAGAACTTGCCACTACTAATGAGTTAGATTGTGATTGCAAATATTCACCGATGAGATATTTGAGATTCAAGAATTCTGAGGCTCTAATGAAAGAAATTAATAATGGTAAGAGGGAAAATTTAGATGAAGAATGTCGTCTCATAGCAAAGGTCAAAGAGGATTTTAGCTCGGATAAACAGAGAAACACACTAAATACGGCAAATAATCCTACGAAATCCATTTTGCACATATCTGCTCGAAAGCAAAATTGTAAGAAAAAAGTTCATTTTCCTGAAGAAATCCCAGAAGTGATTGCATGGGATCATCGCTTGTTCATTCGTCACTTGCATTTATCATAATAAATTTTCGTTTTGTTGATAATAAGTGTGCACATTTTATTCACTACTAAAACTTCCCATGAACTTTATTAATTACTAATTACTAAATTTTATTAATTACTGAATTTAATTAATTTCCAAACAATTACTAATAAATATTTCAAGCGTAGAAATGGTATTTTTTGCATGTGTTAAAATATGTTAAATTTATGCTTTTTCAGTCAATTTTGCTGATTCGTTTTCACGTAAAAATTTATTTTCTAATTAATATTCATTGCAATAGAAGTTGCATTACTCATAGTCATTTCATTTACAAATGCTTGCAAATTGTTATTTAAATTTCAGGATAAAAAATTTTTAGGAACGATTAATAATATATTAAAATATATATATATATATTTGTTTGTGTGTATTTTTGTAAAGTAGCCGTGGTGTATTAGTGACGTAAAGATTGCTTAAAGTCATTTACTTTTAATAATTCATTTGCATACCAGTCATACATAATATTATTAATAACAATAATATATGATTAAAATTAAAAGAAGTGAAAAATTTTTTTAAATTCAAAATATTCTGCAATATCAGCAGTATTAGTGGCACTGAAACTGTACGGCTAACTTTCGTCCTGAAGTTGTAACTATTGATTTGATTGAGTTCATCCGACAATCATTCGATTTCATTACCTTTATGAATAAAATATAAAATCAGAATTTAAACTAAATTTTAGAAAAAAAACAAGTTAAGAATTAATTTATTTTATTTGATAAGTGGAAACTGCGAATTCATTTAGCGTAATCAAATTAGTGATGTTGAAAAGGCTTATAAAATCAATCATTAATTATCATTCTGAAAGTTTGATGAAAAAATAATCATAGAAGTAATGAGAAATAGCCAGGTTACCCCGTAATAGACTGAGCCATTGAAATGTATCATTGAGTTTTTATCCACCCAAGCCTCTTCATCCGAACTTGAATACATCATTTCTAACGTTGGCGCACATGTACAATCCACTATTGTAACACCATATTGTACTTTTTCAATGTACTGATCGAAGACTTGTGACTGTTCATCATATATAAAATAGCAATTTGCGCATGGAAGGAATATCTCATTATTAACTTGATCTATATGCTAAAACTAAACAAATTTTAATAAATTTCATTTGATTATAATAACTATTATTAGCTGAATTTCAGTAAGCAATAATTATTAAACTTATATTCATCAGAGCCTTTTAATACAAATTTTTTCATCTGAATGATTACCTTATCAATTTGGGCTTCTAAAATATTTTTTATTTTTATGAATGATTTTATCAATAAGATTCAGAAAATGTTATCACAGGATTATTTATTAAAGATTTGAAAAAAAAAACTTCTACTAATAATAATTAATAAATCATTACTTACACTT